GGAATTGGTCAAATAATTTTAGGAATGGTGGAACCTTCCACAAGTTTTTGGCAATTGCGCAACATATGCCTATCTCATTATCTGTGCAGTAAAAGCAGGAAAAGCAATTGTTTGCTAAAATCCCTGCAATGTATTACATTGCCATGAGGTGGATCTCTTTTTTTTCCCCCTTAACAAATATGAAATATCAATTTAAATGAAAAACAACCAATATGCCCCCATGTTCAAAAATGTGCTTGTTATCATGGGGGAACTGCAGACAAATTGGAAGGGCTGTAAATAGCTGTAGAAGAGTGCCCAATGATGGGTAAAATTAGATAATTTACCAATAAGCACAGCAAATACTTAGCGGAAGGAGGGACATAAAATAACATCTTAGCATCCCAATCATGTCAAGCACTGTCCTTACACTGCAGATGGGAAAACATCAAACATTAAACTGGAGCACCCAGTTAATAACTCTCAGCTACAATTCAATTTTCATTCATTTAATATGTCCAACTTCAAGTATCTTCACACTGCAAGCCATTTTCTACTGCGCCGTATGTTGGTCACCGGAAGCACAGCATGCATTAGTAATTCTAAGGAGGAGTGCTGTTTAAGCTATGGACCCTTTATGCGTCCTTCAAGGACTTCCAAAGTCCAAGACTGACCGTTCACTTCAGAAGACTTCTCATAGTGCTCAGGGATGACCCTCTGTACCCGCTGCCAAAATGGTTCCAGTGGTTCAGGTAGTGGAAGAGCTGGTACAGCTTCAGCCTCTTGTCAAATCCGGGACCTTTGGGCATCTTGGCGTGGTAGGCCGAGTAGAAAGAAGATCCGAAACCTCCAAACATGCCTGCGATGGCCAGCTCGAATTCGGAGTGGCCGTAGAAAGTGGCAGGGTCGAAAATCACGGGGCCGGTGTCTATTTCCGCCACGTTTCCTCCCCAGAGATCTCCATGAAGGAGGGACGGCACAATTTCCATGCCGGCAAATAGCTGCGGGATCTTCAACTGAAAGTAGAAATTAAAACAAAAACAAAAAATTAGGAAGATTCTCAATGGCTAAAATGTCTTTACCTAAAACTCGACATATACTAACAGGTCTCTTGTACTGACATTTCTCACTACCAGACTCATGGATTCTGTTTACAAGCAGGCTAGCCATGCACACTTCCAATCTGATTGTACAAGCTTGTTTAGATTTATCTACCATTATGTAGTAGAAAAGATATCCAATAGGAGATACAATAGATAGTTTAGATAGGACTGTCATACGGACGTATTTCCTGAATAAAAAGATGGTAACTGTTCATTTATTATAGGTATCTATATAGAACCGACAATTTACACATAGCTTTACACATTGCCCATTCACATCAGTCCCTGCCCGTAAGGAGCTTACAATCTAAGATCTCTGTCTCATATACATACGAGTGCCGATTTGTACAGGAGCCAAATACACTACCAGCATGTCTTTGGAGTGTGGGAGGAAAACCGGAGTATCCGGAGGAAACCCACACAAGCACAGGGAGAACATGCAAACTCCTTGCAGATAGTGTCCTAAGCGGGATTTGAACTGGGGACCCCCGAATACTGCAAGACAGAAATGCTAACCACTATGCAATTGTACTGCCCACGGTATTAGCAGAAACCCTTTGTAGTCAGATCAAGCGGATGCTCTGCCCCCATCATAGCCCCAGTTCTAGGCCATTTAACAAAAACTGCCCTAACGCACAAATCGTTATATAAGCCTTTAAGAAGGGGGTGGCCTATCTCCCGAAACGCATTGACTGTATCTGACCTACTACGTACAAACATTACTAATTAGCAAGCAAGGTGACCATTTTTACTAGGTCCTCCCAACCATATATCCAGGATATGATGTTCCTGGTTCTCTTGCACATGGGTGCCATGACAGGTCTTAAAGGAGCAGGAGATTGGAAATTGATCTGCAGAAGAATTGCATAAGAGCACTTAAGGTGATGTGTTAAAAATGGAAATCCTGTCATAATCTCACTTACATATCATAACAAACTCACAAACTTTGCATAATACATGACCCACCTGGAGCTGAGACCACAGCTCCCTCGCCTCCCTGTCCCCACAGGATTCCTCCAGGAGGTCCAACTGATACTGCAGACGCTGCCGGGTATAAAACGTCACCCAGTCTTCCTGCCAATCATTTTTCTGGAAAAGAAGAAATGAGTCTTCTAGAATGAAAGGAAAAAAAATGTGCAAACCGCAAACTTTGTGGGTTGTTTCACTTTAAGGCAATATACTGAAGGATGGATGGATGGATAGATTGTAAGCCCTCACGGGCAGGGCCCTCCTTACCATCTTGTCTTAAATTGTATTGTGACTGTAATGTCTTCCTTTTATTGTAAAGCGCTGTGCAAACTATTGGCGCTATATAAATCCTGTATAATAATAATAATAATGATATGTAGGTATGAGATAGATAGATAGATAGATAGATAGATAGATAGATAGATAGATAGATAGATAGATAGATAGATAGATAGATA